ATTTTTTCCATGGATACATCCTTTCATATTTTAAAATTATTCTAGGGGTCTGATTATTCTATTAATGTTTCTTACAGACTTGAAGCACTTGGTTTTTAATCGAAGAATACTTGACTTACAATGTTTCAGGTGAGTCACTTTGCTGTACACCTGAAAAATATATATATAATTTTTCAGATTCTTTTCCATTATAGGTTATTACAAGATACTGAATGTTGTTCCCTGCACCATTCAGTAGGTCCTTGTGTTTATCTATTTTATATATAGTAGTGTGTATATGTTAATCCCAAACTCCTAATTTATCTCTCCTCTCCTTTCCCCTTTGGTAACCATAAACTTGTTTTCTATGTCTGTAAGTCTATTTCATAAATAAGTTCATTTGTATTATTTTTTAGATTCCTCATGTAAGTGATATCATATGATATTTGTTTTTCTCTGCCTGACTTACTTCATTTACTATGACCATCTCTAGGGGCATCCATGTTGCTGCAAATAGCATTATTTCATTCTTTTTTTATGGCTGAGTAATATTCCATTGTGTGTGTGTGTGTGTGTGTGTGTGTGTGTGTGTGTGTGTTACCTCTTCTTTAGCCATTCATGTGTCGATGGACATTTGCGTTAAGTACTCTTTCTTAAAATACTGAAACTGGTCCATCCCTCCTCCTATGTGTTGAAATGATAGAAGAGATAAGACCACCATTTCAGTTTTTGTTACTTTGCTTGCTTATGGCTTCTATATGATCAATAGAGTCTTTGGTATCCAATATCATGATTTTATGATTCTCTGCTGTCATGTAAAAGTTTAGGAAGACCGTTCCACTGCCAAATCTAGAAAATATTATCCCTCTTTTCTCCTAATAATTTTTTTGTGTTTTGGTTTTACTTCAGATTTTTAAGACTTTTGAAATCTTATTTGTGCAGGCAGGAATCTATCCTTATCACCGTCCCTCTTACATAGGCAAATATCCTAACACCCCTTAGGCAAATGACTCACTGATTTGATATAATCTTCTAATATACGATAAATGCCTTATGCTCTTGGATCTGCCTTAGATTTAAAGTTCGGTTTCTTAATGCCATATTTTTTTCTTTCTGTGTTTCAGTTATCTACTGTTTCTATTACAGTAGTAGAGAAGGAATGCATTCAAAGCTGGGGAAGGACTATTTTCCCCCTTAGTATCTCTTTCTCAAAATCTTTTTCTTAATCATCATAGCATATTTATCAACCCCAAAATGTGAGACTTACTTTGGTAAATTATGCCAAAACTCCTATCCTTTTGATTGAACCACATCCCGCTTATAGAGTAATTTAAGATGGATGGGGATCTTTAGCAGAGCATTTCTAAGTTATAAGAAAAGAATGTATTGGTTTGAAATAGTAAATAGCCCTAAAGCATGTGATAAGAGAACCTTACTTATACACCCAATATAAGATTCTCGGGACCATGCTGTTTTCCTGAATTATTTGTAAGCCATGGAAGCCATAGAATATTCTGATGATACATGGAAGCCGGATTTTGCATGAGCTGGTTTATATCAGACCTAAACCTGTTAAGATTTAGTAACTGATCTTGAAAGGAAAGAACATTATGCATTAATTGACTTCTGAAGGCTTTTCATCTCAGTTCCCTCAGTTGAAAACAGCTGGTGTAGCAGGTGGCCGCAACGGTACATGCATGCAATGGTGGAGAATATCAACTCAAATTTTTCCTAAATAAAACAAATAATAGTAGATGCGACAGATCCTAACTACCGTGGTGTAGAGAAACCACTAAAAATTATTAACAAGGCACGCTGTAACATAATTCCTTGGCTTTATAAAAATGACTTTGTCTTGTCAGCATCAGATTCAAAATTAATCAGTGTCACTTTCTCTTCCACGTACCTAAGTAAACAAAACCACACTAATGCAGAACTATATGTAGAAAGCATGAATGATTTTAAGTTCCACGTGCGTGAAAACCAGGTTTCTGGATGTTTTCTCTGATCTAGCGCACTTTTACTCTCACTGGAAACAAAAAAGTGTGTGTTGAATAATTAAACAACACATTTAGGCAATGGTGTGGTGTTCATCTAAAGCAAGGACTTCATTCATTCCTAGAAACTGCTAGACTTGGCGGAGCTTTGAGAGGTAGTTACTTCTGGTCCCACACAGAAACATATTTCTCTGAAGTCAACACACACACACACACACACGCACACACGGACACACACACACACACACACGAGAAAAAAGCTCACAATTATATTGACAGTCTTCCAAAATGAACTTTCCAAATTGAATATTTCACTTTTGGGGATTAATAATATTGTCAATTATTCAGCCTCATTTTGATAAAGAGATGGTTAATGAATATCCTACGTTTGCTTTATTTGCCAAAGCCTATTTTCCAGAGGTCGAATTAAAGGTCAGGAGACAGGAAACTCAATTTGTGCATAGTTTTTAAATATATTATAGTAAAATCTGAGCAAAAGTTAACTTGTAATAACTTCTAAAGACCCTCAAAGAATGTAGGAACATTATTTTTTTGTGCTCCGATCACTGAGGTCAGAGTGATTCCAGGGACCATGTAGCTGGTCTGTTCCTTTTTTTTTTTTTTTTAACATTTTTATCGGAGTATAATTGCTTTACAATGGTGTGTTAGTTGCTGCTGTATAACAAAGTGAATCAGCTGCACGTATACATATATCCCCATATCCCCTCCCTCTTGCGTCTCCCCGCCTCCCACCCTCCCTATCCCACCCCTCTAGGTGGTCACAAAGCACCGAGCTGATCTCCCTGTGCTATGCGGCTGCTTCCCACTAGCTATCTACCTTACGTTTGGTAGTGTATATATATGTCCATGCCTCTCTCTCACTTCGTCCCAGCTTACCCTTCCTCCTCCCCGTGTCCTCAAGTCCATTCTCTAGTAGGTCTGCGTCTTTATTCCCATCTTACCCCTAGGTTCTTCATGACCTTATTTTTAGATTCCATATATATGTGTTAGCATACGGTATTTGTTTTCCTCTTTCTGACTTACTTCACTCTGTATGACAGACTCTGTCTCTAAGGATATCCCCGTCATATCCCCCCTGATATCACCAGGTACTCATATGCTTGTCATCCACATGTTCACCTTCCAGACCCAGTAAGTCCAAGGGTGCTTTTCTGTCAACTAAAATAAGACACTCAACAACCAATGACAGTGTTGAGCTTGGTCTTGGTCCATTGTCTAGGTAACAGTGATGCTATATCCGTCCCTCTCTAAGCATCCTCACAAACCTCTTTCACCTTCCCTTTCTAGTCTCTCATTCCCATTTTGCATTCTGTTGTACCTACAGGTCCTATTTTGGGATGGTAACATTAATTCTATTCTCTAGGCTTTTCTTTGTTTGTTTTCAAACTTGACCCAAATCTAATCTAAATTGAGAGATTCTCTCAAATAATTAGGACTGGCATGCTTTTTGTAAATTTTGGAATCATTATATAATACAGTAGGGGAAATCACTGTGCTAAGTGAACAAGTGATTCTATCTAAACACGAGATGAAATGGTCTGGAAGGAAACGAAGTGGCCTCCTTTCTCCAGATCCATTTCAGAAACAGTCTAAACTGCACTCAGAGGAAACACCTGCAATGAAACCTTCCTAAAAGCCTCGGCCACCTCCTCCCACTGCCCTGGACTCCTGCCTGCTCCGGGCTGTGAATTCCCCCTCCATGGGCTAGGACAGCTGCCGCAGAGAAAGAAAGTTCATCTTCATCAAAACAGGCTTTGAAGCCCTTCTGCACATAAACAGTCTTCATTTATGAATGACTTAATACTTTGATAAAAGAACACTTTGTTAAGTGGCTTGGCTTTTGAAAACAGCCCACACAGATATTTGCATGAGTCCTTTAAAGACTATCAGACAACATGAGATGGCTAAAAATATTGTCCCAGGCTTCTGGTAAACCTACACAATCTATCCCCGCCAAGGATGGGAAAAGATTACCAAACCCTTTGGCTTGACTTAGCTTGTGCCAAAATAGAATTCTTCCTTTGGGAACCATCTGAATTTCATGTGTGTGACTGTATTCTTCATTCTTTAATAACTTATCCACATGAAGGCTCTTTTTGAAATTTTCAGTCGAAACTAGGAGACTAGTGAGAATGGGTAACTAGAAGAGTCAGTAACAGTAAACTATAAACTGAATTGGGTCCCTAAAACATTGTTTCCCCAGAAATGGTGGCTCTGGTGTATTCTTGTTTCAGAAAGGCAGTGAATATAAAGCACAGCAGGA